TCCCTCATCAGACCCCAGAGAACGAACCAATCAGCTCCTCCCCCTTTCTCTCAACAGACCCCACAGAACGAACCAATTAGACCCCACAGAACGAACCAATCAGACCCCACAGAACGAACCAATCAGATCCCCGCCCGCCCCGCCATGGCAGCACCTGTACAGAGGCCACCACCGGCTGTTGATGTCATCGAGTCCGAGGAGATTGTCCAGTGGCTGAGCCCGGCCCTGCTGACCATCGACTACAGCACGCGGACGGTCAAGTCAACGGTTGTCCTCGCGGCCTTCCTCTCCTTCTCCGCCCTCTTCTTCCTGTCTCTCCTCGTCCTCAACGTGTTCCCCTCGTTCCGAGCCCTGCACCGCAAGCACCGCGTCTTCATGAGTCTGGCTATCTGCAGGGGCGTGTTCGGCTTCAGCTGTATTCTTCTCGGATCTTACGCCATTTTCAAGTCGACAAATCTGGACAGAGACGTGGTGTTCGGTCGCAATGTGACCTCGGCGATGTCCATGTACTTCACTGTCGGGTTCTTCATCTTCGAGCTCGCTGCCGTTGTCATATCGGACGTGTGTTTCAAAACCTTCTCCAAAATGTTGATAACACACCACGGCTTGGCGTTGCTAGGTTACGGGCTGGCCGTGCAGCTGGAGGCTAACTATAGCTTCGGGTGCAAGGCTCTGATCCTGGAGATGAGCACTCCCTTCTCGTGCTTGTGTTTCGTGCTGCTCAAGGCAGGGAAAGAGAACTCTGTGCTGTGGAAGGTCAACCAGATGGTGTTAGTTCACAGCTTCCACCTGCGCAGCGTGGCCGAGTGTCACTTGTGGTACGTCACCTACCAGAACTGGGCCTACATCCAGGACTTCATGCCCGCCCCCATCTTTGTCCTTCTCTACTTTAACCTTGTGCTGGTGACCTTTGTGATGACGCCATACTGGGGCTACAAGAAGACGCAGCAGCTCTTTAACCCCGTCGACTGGAACTTCCAGGAAAATAAACACAACACTTTGTCCAACGGCACTTTCAAAAAACAGGTCTAAAAGACCACGTGATCATTTGTGTTACCTTGCGACCACTTTACGACAAACCGTGCAACTGTTTCCAAAATGGAGCTGATAAAAAAAGGATGTTCAAAGAAGAAAAACTAAGGGATTGTTTACTTTAGGACAACTTCACGACAATTTCACTGACGTAATGATAACTTTTCGACGTTTACAACGATTTTACGGACATAACTACAACTTGACAAACTGTGTGATGAGTGTGGGCTTCACTATGGCCTCAACAACAACAATTTGTTTTAAAAGAATAAATACTTTCTGTAAGTAGTGTAAGAACTGCTTTTACCAAGCTACGTATTGGCAAACTCGATGACTGACTTGTCATTTGGTAGTTTGTGTACGCTCAGTTCCCTCAGCGAGTCCAGTCTGTTGACTTTGTCCCTCGTCAGATCAAGGGAAACTTCCTACACTCATGTTAGATTAGTTAGAATGGTTGTCGGTTTTGTATTGATTTGCATTTGTTTATTAATTGAAGAGAATCTTTTTGTTAACCTTTCTATGTTTCTTTTGAATACTGGTACAAGTGTACATGTTGGAATATTGGTACAAATGTACATGTTGGAATACTGGTACAAATGTACATGTTGGAATACTGGTACAAATGTACATGTTGGAATACTGGTACAAATGTACATGTTGGAATATGGTACAAATGTACATGTTGGAATATGGTACAAATGTACATGTTGGAATATGGTACAAATGTACATGTATTTGGGGGTGTTTTTTTTCAATTGAACTGATGGAGGTCGTAGAGTGGAGAACTGGCTGGATTGATTTGTTGATCGTTTGGTTGGTTGGTTGGTTGGTTGGTTAATTGATTGATCGATCGATTGATCGATTGATTGATTGATTGATCGATTGATTGATTGATTGATTGATTGACTGATTGATTGATTGATTGATTGATACTCACCAAGCAGTTTGTCAAAGAGACAGGAAGCATCCTTCTCTTAACTTACATTGTTCAGCATACGTCCGTAAAGCACACAAAATGTGCCAGATTTCTCGACAGTGTTATTGTGTTCTGGCCTGGGCTGTTTATCATCATACTCCCCCGGATGTATTCCTGGTCTTCTATAATTCTTTTGTTTCCTTTCTCTTCTGATCAGAAGTCTTGTTTTTACGCTACCCTGTATCACATTTACTGTTTTTGTTGACGTGGGTGTGTTCATATTAATTTTGTTGCTGTCGTGTTTTGTTGTTGTTGCTGTTACTGTCGGGTGCTGCTGTTGCTGTTACTGCTGTTGCTGTTACTGTTGTCGCTGTTACTGTTGTCGCTGTTACTGTTGTCGCTTTTACTGTCGGGTGCTGTTGTTGCTGTTGTTGTTGGCCTGATAAAGCACTTCTGTCTCACACAACGCTAACCACAATGCAAGCTTTAATCCACGACCTTTTTGTACCTTATTGGGCAGCAAAACATTGAAATCACGAGACAATGTCCGTATTTTGATTGGGTAAGCCAGTTTGTCAAATGTAGGTACGTGTGTGTGTGTGTGTGCGTGTGTGTGTGTGTGTACGTGTGTGTGTGTGTGTGTGTGTGTGTGTGTATGTGTGTATGTGTGTGTACGTGTGT